TTTTTCCCCCTTGGGCTTTTGTAAGAGCGTTGTCTTTAATATGAGGAAGTTTATCCAGTTCTTATGATTTTTAACCTAGTGCTTGCAAAACATGGATTGGGAGAGGTGGTCCTGTGCTGGGGTATCCCGGGTTTTTCCGTCTCCATTCATTGAGATGCTTCATTAATTTTTTTATTGCGATTTTATACCTTTGACAACCAGAGATTAGTTCTCATCCACCTTAACTGTCTGTAGATTTTTGAGAGTGGTGACAGGTACATAGATAACCGATGTGTAGGGCTTGTTTGGTGAATCTTCATCCTCATACCGTTTTTCTGGACAACCAGACATGGATGCGGTATGGAGCATTCCCTCTTTGGCCTAGACGGCTTTGTGGATCCTGGTGTCAATGCACATATCTGGAGTTCCCATGTCCTCCATGGCAAATTTGCAGATCTCTTTGAGTGCCCAAGGGGCACACCTCTTGAAACCGACTCCGTGGATGCACTTGTGAGTGTTGATGCTGTATTCTTTGGTCACCACCTCGTTGATGGCAGAATGGTCCTTCTTGCCGCTCTTCTTTGAGAAGGGGAGGGGAGAGGCGAGCACCTCCCTTCTCGCTCCCGCGGGATCCAGGTCGGCGGGGGCCGGCGCCGGGCGGCCACGTGGTGGTGCTGCCGCTGCCCCCGCCCCGCCGGCCCAGCCCCGGAGCCGCGGCGCCCACTGACCCCCGCAGCGGGGGGAGGAGGAGGGACCGAGGCGCAGGAAGCCGAGCAGGAAGCGAGCCCGGCGGCCGCGTTTTCCTGGGGAAGCGGCGGGCGGAGTGGCGCAGCCGGCGGGGCCCGGGAGCCTCCGCCTCGATGGGGTAAGTGCGCGGCGCCGAGAGTCGGGAGGCTCCCCGGAGCGGGGTCCCGGCTCGCCGCCCCGCCTTTGTGTCTGGGGCTCGGGCGAGGGACGGCGCGCCGGGCGGAGCGGCTTAGCGGGGTGGCAGCGAGGGTCCCGCCACCACTCCCTTGTCTGCCGCCGGCCGCCAACTGTCTGCGGAGGGAGAGGAGGAGGTGGGGATCCGAGTAAGAGGGAAGACCCGGCCAAGTTGGGAGCGGGCTTGTCTCCTGCAGGCCGGCAGCGGCAGGGCGCGGGGCAGGGGCGGCGGAGCGAGCGCGGGCGGGAATGAATGGCCAGCCCGGCCCGGCGTCCTGCGGGGCGCGGAGTCAGTACCCTGTCCTACCTGCTTGGCCCGCCCCGCGCCGCCCCACCCGGCCCCTAGCTTCTGGGCTGGAGCCGCCTCCGCGCACAACTTGGAGGAGCCGCGGAGGGAGACGCAAGCGGGAGACTTCGGGTGGCTCCGGCGACCGAGGGTCTGCTATTGTTCCTTTTCTGACTCTAGGGAGCCCTTCGGCGGGCCCAGGGGTGCAGGCCTGCTAGTGCCCCTCGCTCTACGTGTCCTTTTCCCCGCCGCAGCTTCGAGGAGGGCGGGGAGGCGGGATGCTGGAGTTCGGGCCGACTCGGGGCGGCTGGGACTTCGGGAGAGGGGCGCCCGCCCGCCATCTACCCCCAACTCTGCCCAGGTGGGTGGGTGGGTACCTTCTCCAACCCACCTTCCCTTCGCTGCCGGCTTGGGCAGGTTTGTGGCCGTGCTTTAGTTTCTGCAGTTTTTAGGGTTCATCTGCTGCCCCCTGGTACACGCTCTCCTTTGCGTTTGGACCTCACACTCCCCTTTTGTGGAGGGGGCGTTCAGAGCCCAGGGAGGCAGCAGACTGGACAGATGGAGACCAGTGTGAAATGGAGGAGTTACAAGTGACCTTCCGGCGGCTGGGGCCTGGGCTATAGGTCCAGGCTTGCACTGCTCCAAGGAACCCAGGTCAGCGCAACTTTTATTTCCAGCGGTCAGGGCATATCTGGGGCTCAAGGCCGCGCACCATGCCCAGCAGCTTCCCGTGGCCGCAGGCGCACAGGTGATTGGGACGGGTCTCCGTTTTCCTTCTGGGAGAGGAGAATACCAAGCTGGCTGGGATAGGGAAACGTTGCCAGTTCCCTGGAGAACGTGATCTCAAAACTGTAAGGGCCTGACGGGGAGGAGTTGGTTTGTCCATCAGTCGGACGCAGCAGAAGCTCATCTTAGAGAGGAGAGCCTCACCTTGTGGTTTGAACGAAGTTGGAGAAGAACTAGTGTATCACAAGGAGGCTGGATTTTGATTGCTCTGGCCCACACCTGTTCACAGGTGTGGCTGGGAGTTTTATTACTGATGGATGTAATCTGATCATCTTTCCTTAATGATGCCTAACCGGTGTCGTTTTT